AGTCTTTTATATTTTATGTCATTTAGAACGTAATTACATTATTTCTATTCCTAAAGTAAAATATTAATGCATTTGGTCATAATGCAAATAAAAATGGCTTTACCTCCAAAATTGGCCTTTGAACTACAAAGTAAAGTAAACCAAAAACATTCAGCATACCTGAGCTACCAAGACAGCAGCTTGTCAATAAACAGCAGCTGGTGCAGAATATGCACTTGGTGTGAACAATCATCGTCACAAGGAGTGTATTCATCAACAAGCAGACACTCATCTTTTTACCAAGAGCCAACGGCCAAGGATGGAAGAAGTCCTGGGTTCCACCCTCTGAATCTCAGAGACTATGACATTCCCTTAGCCAACAGGCCAAATGCCTGGCACAACAGTAGCCAAGACAAGGCAAATAATACAGAATTTTTTCCCCCACAAAATGAATCTCATAATGGTAGTTACAACCTTAATCAGCCAACAAAGGGAGACATAGTTCACTCTACAATGTCTACTTTAAGACATGGCTTAAAAAAGAACGGTATTTCCACTTGAAAACTAGTTATAGAAGAAGGTAAAATAATAGTACTACTATTCAACTATGAGACAGGTTAAATAAATATTTGTGGATCCATGTGCAAAGTCGACCACTCATTTAGCACTTAATATATCAGGAATTATCAGCAGTTAGAAACAAACTCTTAGAATACAATTCACTTCTATATTGAAGACTGCCTATTTTTAAGACGAGTTGATGAGTCATATTCTAATAGTCCAAAATTGTTTAAATGTTTGATCAAGGCTCAAGACTAGAAAAACAAACTCAGCAGTTGGGGCAATTCAAATAAAATAGAGCTTTGTGATGTTTATGATCTCCTAAGCATCAGTATTACTGAACACTGAAATATGTAATTAAAAACAAAATCAGAAGACATCACAAGAAATCAAGACATGTTTGGTCAAAAACAATGAGGACATAATGCCATCTTAACTTTTCCCAGTGAAATACTGAATATAAAAACACCATACAGACTAAAAATACTGGAATGCCATTCTGAAAATAATCAGAGACAAGAAGTAATACAAAAATATTATCAAATGCACAGTGAAGTAGCTGCCAAAGAAAAATACTTCCTTACGGGGAAAAGGACAGCTGTTTAATTTTCATTAAGATATAACATTTTAGAAACTACTGTATTCTTTTTTTTGCAAGAAATACTAATAATATCTGCATCGTGTTATGCAAAAAAACATAATTCCTAATTAGCAATTTTCTTTGGTATTCCTGATTTCTAGAAATTATGAATTCAAGTTGGTCAGATGTTATTCTTAGCATTAATAATTCCGTTCTACTGATTTCTTTCTCCAAAGCAGCAGTTCTCAAGCAGAAGTACACATCAGAATCAACTAGGAAATCATTTTGAAAATACCCAGTCCCAGGTGCCATCTCTCAGAGATTGATTCAGCCTGTCTGGAGCAAAGCCATACTATCTGTGTTTTGAAAAAATTCTCCCTGTGATTCTGATTGCTAGCTGAGGACCACTGCTTTTGAATTACATACTCCTTCTACTGACTTGAAGAACATGCAACCACACTTGAACATTTTCTATATATTTATTTTAAAGAATACATTTAGGACAAATGGTTTTGAAAACGTATAAAAATAATTTATGTATTAATCCAACTTTTATATTTACATGGTCGCTTAAAAGATTTTTATTTTATTATTATCAAAAATGTATTTCAACAACTTCCACAGTATTCTTATAAGTCAGGAATTTTAAGATTTCTAATAGAAAAGTTTTAGTATTCAGAAAATAATGAAACTGGGACTGATATCTATAATATTTTAAAATATAATTGTGACTCAGCTATGCTATGCCACGTATAAGAATAATCTTCACACTAAACTATAATAATCCTAAGTGGCGGCATTTTCATTTAAGAAGAAAGCATAAAAGTACTTTATAGAAGATATCTCATCATAAAAACTTATAAAGTTGAATGCTTCAAACGAAAATATCTGAGGTTTGATTTCCCAATATAAGGTTTCCGTATACACTTTGTAAACATATACTCATTACAGGCTATCAACTTAAATAACGCCAGTTATGGCTAAAAGATAAAATTAAAAATTTTTCAGTGCCAAAGTACATATCAACTAGAATTGTTATCAACTGATTTTAAGACAACTTGAATATAAAAATCACAACTTGAATCTCAAAATATAAACCAATCCTATAAAGACTAAATTAATTAAAAATAAAAAGCTCTAGAAGAGTAATCAAGTTTTCCTTCTGTTCCTATTCTCTAGTAAATGCTTTCTTTTGATTAGCTTTTACAATGTCATCAGGAGATGCTGATTTGAAGTCAAATGGTGTAATTGCTAACAGAGGACTTATTTCTTTGTCCTTTACATCTTGAACTTGTCTACTATAAAGAAAAGTCTTATAGAGGTTAAGGGTATGTCGCTTGCAGCTTTTCAGTGGATATCGAAGACACAGTGTTGAAGCAAAAGCTGAAGGTCTAGCAGCAAGAGCCTTGGTCCAAGAGACAGAAAAAGGTGGTTTCCTAGTCAAAGAGCATTTATTGTTTTTCTTATTATCTTTAGCAAAATTGGAATTTTTTCCTAATTTGGAACTTAGAACTTTAGTTCCTGTTGTTGGAGCAACCGATTGGTCTATTATAGGCTTTGGAACAAAATCTGGGGTTTTTATTAGGACACTAAGATCAATATTTAAATCTATTCCAGGAGACCTCACTTCAGATAAACTGAGCTCAAAGGAATCTTTCTTAATCTGAGCGTTGTCAACATCAATCGTTTCTGCAATCAAATCAGAGAGTGACAAATTCTCAAGGTCTCTTGTGGGAGAAGCTTTACAAAATGTCAAAGATGATAGAGATCCTGTTAATTCTGATATCCCAGTAGAAGACTGACAGTGATTTGCTAGCTGTGCCAGGGGAAAAGATCCCAAACTTAGATCTGTGAAACTGGCAGACGACTGGTTACAAATATCGGATACAGTAAAGCATTGGCTTGGATCGTTTTCCTTGTGTTCCTGAAGCAATTCAGCTAGGGATGGACTTTCACACTGGGAAAACTGCAAGTTGTCATTTTTTAAAATGTAACTCTTGACACTTTGTTCAACAAAAGAAACACTTCCAACTTTAGTCTTTTTGCTAGTATTTAAATTATCAAGAGTTGTATTTTCCAAGGAGCTAGTTAATTGCAAAGGATTATTTAAACTTCCTAAGCTGTTATGTACTGGAATGTTTTGGAAATCAGGTAGTGAACTATTTTGAATAAATACAGAATTATTAGGTGTTGTACTCTTTATCATTAAGGATTTTAAATCTGGTATTTCTTTGAATGCAGAATCATCTTTGGAAACACATTCCGAGGTATGAGGTCTTAAGAAATCAGCATCTAGATTCTTTGAAAGTAGACTTTCCAGACTTTGTGTGGATGATAATCTGACTGATGGCTGACTTTTATAAGAATCTCTTGGCATATCATGAATTAAGTCAGCTAGTGAAAGCTCTTTTAACTTACATGATTCTAGTTTCTTTTCACTTTTAGGTCTGTCAAGTTTCTTTTTTCTATGGAGTAAATAGTGACTCGGAACTGAAGAATTATGATATAATCCATATTTTACTACTGAGCCAGAAAAATCAATAGGTTTGCTACTGTAATCCAAATGACTTGCTGATTGAACATAAGAACTTTGAACATTATCAGCTGAAACTTCAGAGGAAGAAAATAAGACTCCTTACCTTACAAGAGCCATTAATTTTCAGATGAATAGGTTGACACATGCAGAAGACAGTCACAGCAACCAAAAGGAAACATGAAATGAGGCATTTAATTACTAAATGCTTCTTTTGAGTATGACATGAATAAAGTGATAACTGATCATTATTTAAAATTAATTGAACACTCTAAAAAATAATAATAATGGAATATTACCATTCTTTAACAACCTAAAGTGACCTTCATACTTTGTTCACTGATATATATGTGTAAGTACCAACTCGATGTTCTAATTTTCACGACTTTAACAATGTGAACTTTTACCATATAATTAAATTATAGTCAGAACTGTCTCAAAATTCAAAACTTAGAAAAAAAAAAACTATGTTCACTGTCTTCTGTATTTTAATGCATTAAGAACAAGCAAGCAAACAATTAACAACCTATAATTTCTGCGATCTGGAATACACTACTAATACAGATGACATTTTACAGGCTCATTCCCATAACAGTCAGTTAAAAGTGCACATCTGCTCTCTCTCCACCAAGAAAAACACACTTATTTCATGGAAACACATTGTAAGCAACTTTGTTGTAGCAAAATTTAGCCCACAGATGATAAGAAATATTGACCCGATTAACAAATCACCAAATACTGACAGGTATCATACCAATTAATATAATGGCACCTTAATTCCTTTCTTATATCCACTAAATTCCAAATACTAAAATTTAAAATGAAAGATCTGGCTATAAAATGTAAGAATAGTATAATCATGATACTTATGATATTAATTGATCTTTAAATAAAATGAACTTATAGTTTATACATGATAGAAGCATACAGGGATTCTTTTAACATTAACTGCTTGGTTATTAACTTGTATCTCCAAACTCATTAGAGTTAAAAAACAGCAATTAAAAAGTTCTCTAAGCTACTAACAAGAAGAAAAAAAAGTCTTCTTTTATCTGATTTTATTTCCTCTATGTTCTGTTAGTTATGTAAAACAAGTAGTGAAATAACCAAAAACAGGCTGTACCAGAGGGAAGGGAACACAGTTCTCAGCTTAAAAATTCACAAACAGAAAATCAATTGATAATAATCAAGAATTGACTGGAACATGAAAGATTTTCTTAACAGCTCAAACAAATTAAAATTTTTCTTAAGCTCAAGCAAATGAAAGCCTCTCTTTAATTAATACTTTAATTAATACTTTAGTTAATACTATGTAAAACAACTAAAAGAGAACAAGTAAAGGCATACCTTTTGCTATCTTTCCTGTAGATATCGTTCCCTCACTCTTGTCCTTCAAATTCTGCATGTTATCTTGTTCCAGAACCACTGACAAAGCCTTCTGCACATCAAACTTGTTCTTCAGAACTGCTTCAATCAATATGTCATCTGGCACAGCATCTCCAAGTATCTCTCTCATGTGATCAAGGCATGAATAAAGACGAGCTAGAACAGACAGCCATGATTAAAAGCTACACTAAATGGTGCCATGAAAGAACTCACAATCTTCAGAATTTATAAAAGGACTTAAAACTAAGATATTCAACCCTCCTTTCTTTTTGGCAAAAATTACTTATAATGATCCTATTTTTATCTACAGTGTACCTATATTCCCTTAGAGGAACAATTTCATTAATTGAGAAATCACTATAATAACTATCTCCTGAATAATACTAATGCTTGAAAAAAAGTGTAAGTTGTACAATACACACTAATACCTATTTTTAGTCAATGATGATGATAAATGTCCCCTGAATAATACTGACTAATGCTTGAAAAAAATGTAAATTGTATATACTAATATTTATTTTTAGTCACTGATAATGATGGTATCTCCACTAACCATATTTCACATGTATAAAAAGGGAGGATGAACGTGTAATTATTTTTAACTTGTTAGTAAGCCCAGTTAATCACTAAGTATATTTCTTACATTTCTTAAATTACCTGTACCACCTTTAATTTTTTTTTAAGCTAACTTCAGTTTTTCCCAGCCAACTAAAATCATCCTTAATGACTCTAAAAAAACAGGCAAGATAATCTAATATTAAAATGCCATAAAAACAAGGAACTCCAGTAGAGTAAAAGGAGAATGGACATTCATTTTAAAAATAAAAAATCTGAACCTGGAATTGTCTAAACTGTTTATGGATTTTAATTTTATGATGACTACATTATTATGAAAAGCAATTACTAATAATATTAATTAATAATGTAAAATGCATGAGAACAGAGGCTTTGTATCCCTAGAACCTAAAACAATACCTGGTACCTAGGAGCCAATAAAAAGAAATAAAAATGAATGAATATATTCATTGACATTTGTGTAGCACTTGACAATTTTCACAATACTTTTATATATATATACCTTTTGTAATCCTCACAATAACTCTATGAGCAAATTCTAATTTATAAAGATAAGAAGATTGAAAATCATGGCACTACTAAGTTAGCAATAATCAAAATACAACCAGGTTTTCAGACTCCCTGTCCCATGAAGCCATTTCACAGAAGGCAATTTATATTGTATTTTACATGCTTACAAGTTGAACAAAGAATCTACTGGCAATACCCTTCCTTTTTTAAGAAAGTATTTCATACTTTTTTCCATTGCTCCGTTTCTTAAGTATTAAAAATAAATTCCTCAAATATTTGGGCAATTCTGCTTTGCTTCAGTCCAAGATCAATTTTAAAAGCCTAATAAGCTATGCTGAGAAAATAATACTTATTTGATAAATACATGAATTATTGAAACTGGAACAGAATATTTAGCATAGCTGGCATCATGGCCTCTTCTAATTAGTTATAGGAATTGTTTTCTACATATACACAAAGAGGCAGAGTAGTGAGGGGGTTAAAAGAAGAGGTTACAGAGTTAGACTGGGTTGGTTCATGTCCTAATGTCACTTACTAGTTGGTACAACCTCAGACAAGTTACTTCTCTATGTCCCCTTTCCTCCTCTGTAAAATGAGGACAATAACTATCCTATCTCATAAGGTTGTTGTGAAGATTAAATATGTTAACATCTGAACAGTACTTAAAACAGTACCTGGAGAGCATGTAGTTAAAGCTACAATCATTACTGTCATCATGCAATTACTTACATACGTCAGGGTGGAATGATTAACTTTCCTTCTCTAACATAACTTTGAGTTTCATTAAGTCCTTAAATCACTGTCCACTGGGGCATAGCAGACAAAGGACAAGACTTCTACTTTATTCCTACCCTCTCACCCCACAATGTTAGCTATAACCCTTTCCTTAAAAATACAATTAAATACCATTTATTAAAAACTATTATATTGTATGTCATACAACAGCTCCTCTACACACTTTTGTTCAGAATTTCAAATATATTTGTGGGGTTGATAAAGAAATTCTTTTTATTTCTTCTGTATCTGCTTTCTAATTTTGTATATTTATGCTTTATTTCTCTCCATTTTTCTTGATTTGGTTAGCAGATGATAGATACTTTATTGATTTATTCAGAGATCAGCTCCCAGATTCATACATTTCTTCTTTCTGTTTTCAAATTAATGATTATAAATTTTCAATTTAAAAACATGTATAGGGGGCCAAGCCCATGGCGCACTCGGGAGAGTGTGGCGCTGGGAGCGTGGCAGTGCTCCCGCCGTGGGTTTCGGATCCTATATAGGGATGACCGGTGTGCTCACAGCGCTCACTGGCTGAGCACGGTGCGGCTGGTCTCAAAAAGGACAAATAAATAAATAAATAAATAAAAACATGTATAGGACAAAGCCGCACTCCAGAGAAGGAGTAAATTGGTTCAGCCCTACTCACTATCAACAGATGGCATTACTTTTATATGTTATACCTGGTTATATTAGTTCTGCTACCAATCTATGCCTTGGGCAATGTTTGAAACAATGTCATGTTTGAAACTTATTTATAAAGAAGCCAAAATACAAATATCTTAGTTAAAATGTTTGAGTTGAAAATAAGCAACCTCAGACAAATGTCATTAACATTTACAAGTTCTGCCTTAAAACTTAATTCACACAGATGTGAAAAATCAAGACATTTGTATACTTTGGACTTCAACTTTTTTTTTTAAAATCTTTTGGGACCTAACATTTTTGTAAGTAAAGGAGTTTCTGTAATTTACACAGAGCTTATGAAACAATAAATATTCTGAAAAAGTTCTTATAACAAATCACTGCTGTTTCTCTCCTATGGAAAAGATGAAAAAAATGGGATAGGTCAATCAAAAATTTTAGTTACTAAACAACACCCATACAATCAATTTTTCAACTACACAATTAAATATACTCCTCACGAAATATACTTAATAAAACAAATTTTCCTTAAGATACGTTTGAATCATCAACGTCTAGTCACTATTACAAACAATCACAATAAAACTGATAAATTCTGTTATATTTGGTTATTAATCATTTCAGGTGAGAAACACAGATACACTACTTTTTACTATACCTTGATCAATTCCACTTAGCTGATGGTTCAAAAGAGAACTGAAAGATTCTTTCCGATCTTCATAATCATATTCTTCAACAGGCTCAACAACTGAAGGTTTGTCACGTCGTGAGTAAATAAACTGAGCAGCTAGAATATAAAATAATTGAAGAATGTTGTAGTACAGCTATTTCCCATTATTTTTTTTTAACAAAAGTTAAGGTAAGAACTAAAGATTCTGATCTACCACTTACAGACAATTACCCACATTCCATAATAATGAAAGGAAAAATAAAAACAAGCCAAGACAAAACATGCCCCAAATCCTGCTCAACTGTCCTTACTAACTACATACTTATTAATTTCTTATAATCTCTTTCCTTCTTCCCCCAATCTCTAAGACCATTCCAACTGAGCCTAGTTTCTCTACTGTCTTCAAAAACCACCTTTCCTAATATTTTATCCTTGCCTTCTGTGTTCCCTGGAATTTTCTCTTCTTTGGTACAAATATTTCAAACCATGTATCAATCAAGCTTACTTATAAGCATAATTAAGAAAACGCTAGGCTAATTTTCACTTCCTAAAAATTGTTGATTTTGCCTGAATCCAAGGATTCGTTGAAAACACAGGCCTTAACTTTTGAACAATTCATACTTTCAATCACAGAATGACACTGTAAACTAGTATCATATACTAACTTTGACTTTCAGACATCGGTCTGTGCTACTTCGCAATACTGGCTGTCAGCATTCAACATATAACTGGGTATTATATATTTCATTAATTGGAGTAAAGATAGAGGAGCAAAGTGCCAATATATGCTTGAGTATCATAAATGAAATACAAGTAAGCAAAGGTGAAAATCATCAGGCATGCCCAAAGTATTGATGTTTCTGCCTTAACTGGATGCCCACTGAACTTAATCCTGGAGACTGTGTTCAATTGTGAAGGAATAAAATTAAAAAATATGTTAAGAAGGACAGAAATATAAATACAGTATTCAAAAGGCAAGGCATTATGAGGGGCTTTACATTATTTAGCTTTCTGTAAGAGCATGTAACCAACATGTTAAGCCCACTGCTTAAAGTCCCCACATTTGACTTTTGAACACGTTTTCTGGAAGGCATTATTTATTAAAGGGAAACTATATTCAAAATTTATAGATAATGCATAGAATATAAAGCTATGACCTATGTGTAACATCTACACTCAGAAGGCCACAGCATAAATGCTCTATTTCACAGTATAAGTGAATGGCCTCACAGACTAGCAGAGAAGGCAAAGAAAAAAATGTAATGACACACATAATTTAAAAGTCAAATGAGTTGTACAGATAACAAGTTCTGCAGAAGCACAGAAGATTAAGTAATCACTAAAGACTGGAACAGTTATAATAAAGAAGGTGAGAACATAGGAAGAGCTGAAGAAGAGATGGAAGAAATCTTGAACAAGGTGAACAGAGTAAGAGAAATACAGAGCAGCTGGCAGAATTCAATCTATTCTGCTATAATGCATGTTTTTTTTTAAACACAAATTAGCTCATACTGATTGGTAAATGAGAGAATGATTAGAGTGTAACATTGGAGATGCTGTAGTTTATCAAATTTTGCCCCATCACTTCAATGTTTTGCATCGCTGCATAATAGCAACAGACACAAAATCCAATAACACTAACCACAGAGCTATATTATATTATAATTATAATTGTACTGTAATGTCTCATAGCCTTACATTCCTCCTCTTGACTCAGTTGGGCAATACTCCCTGTTCTGGAAGTCCTTACTGCTTGGTTCTCCAAGTTCTGTCAGCATTTTGCCTTGTAATATTACTTATTAGTTTCAACCCTTTCTTACACCTCCTTCTAGCAAGGTTTCACCTTTTTTTAACGTAAAGTCCTACATTTACTGGAGTATTTAATAGGAACTTAATGTAGCTTTTCAAATGTGCAAGTATTTTTGAGATAATTACTGTTTTTGTTAGTACTCTATAGGTTGAGTAGTCTGTCCTGATTCTACTTTTTCCCAGAAGTTATTTTTAGTATATAATTTTAAAGACCACAAAGTTTTTCAGGAATGCACATATTATGTTGAATATATATATATATATATATATATATATATATATCTCCATCCCTATTTTTCCCCCTCTGTGCAAGGAGATAATAATAGTGGCATTATAAAGTCAGCATGACTAAATAGCAGAAGAGACATCATTCTACTCATAAATTCTCTAAAGGGAACCACTTTTTTTCACATGTTAAAGTCTCAGAATTAGAGATGTGTCTTAGAATCAAATGGCATCTGGGTATTATGTAATAGTTAGATTGATAGCCTTTTGTTTTAAAGTGGTCCATAAAATGATGATATATCTTACAATCCATGGCAACTTAGATTTAATAAAATGTGGTAGTACCAAAAAATGTAATAAACTGGACCATTTTTTACCTGGTGGTTTACAAACTGCTTTCCTGGCTTTAAAAAACTGATTTCAGTTTAGCCTAAAAGTAACAAATACACTTCCCCTAACATTCTCTCATACATCTGAACTGTGAGGAAGATACTTAACACAAATCAAAATAATTAAGTAAGGCAGGAAACCAGATGCTTCCCTCAACAAGTTTCACTTAGGAAATATTGACAAGGAAGAGGAAGTTCTTTCAATGTACAGGCTTCTACTCTACCTCTTCAGAGCTATTTTTTCTGGGGGTTTTCCTACCACCATCATGCCCCTCACACACACAAATCCAATTCAGAAACATATACTGTGACCATTGTTTGGAAGTAGTAATGGCTGGGTTTGCCAGGGAGGGAACAAGGGCAGGAAAACTCCCCCAACAAAAATAGCTATTAGAGAAGGAAAAAAAGTGGTCCAAACCTTTGAAGTTGAAATGAGAGCCCAAAAGGCAACAAATACAATAAAAATGGAACGAGAGAAAAAAACAATGATGAAAAAACAGTAAATACAAAATGTTATTCTTCTCTAAAATTTTAAATCACAAACTTTGATGGAAGTGCTTTCTGAAAAAAAATGGACACCAACAGTGATTTTTTAAATTTAAGGCATTCTGACAAACACAAAAGTTCAAGGAATTCGAAATCTATCTCCTGAAACTACCTCAAATTGTTTCCTAAAAACCTTAAAATAAAAATCATCTGAGGCACTCATTAAAGATACAGCTCTCTCTAGGCTGTGGTGGTGGAACGGAGCAGAACAATTACTCCCAGCTAATTCATATCATCAGAGAAGGTTAGGAAACATTGGCCTACAGTCTCTCCTTTCATCTGTCCCATCTGTAGTACACTTTGTATATCGTCATCAGTCACCTGCCTAAAATACCACCCTCCTTACTCAAAAACCTCTAATAGGTGGACACTACAAACACAAAATTTAAAACCGTCTTCCTCAATCTGGTTCCTATTTCCTTTCATAGCCCTCTTTCCTGCTACAACTTGCGTTAATCCTGTGAGTCTCCCAAAAGAAGCCTCACTTAGAGGAAATTACTTAAGCAATGTTGTTTCCTCTACCTGGGACGCCATTCTTACTCCCAAATTTACCAGCCCCAATCCCATCTCCTTCCAGAAGCACTCCCAGGTTCCTTCAGTCTGGATTATTTTCTTTACACAACATACTGTTGTAGCAAACTGTTTGAATGAGACTTTAAACAAACTGCCTTACATCAAACTAATTTATAAATTTATTAGAATAGTGTTTTTTTATACATAAACTGATGTCCAATAAAGGTTTTGAATTGAAATGGACCAAATAAGAACCACTTCCAATCACACTAGCTGAAACAAAATACATAACCATTCAAATAAAGTTTTATATATAAGCTCTTTTTTGCTATCCCCACTCTTGACATATATTCAATACTCAGTACCAAAGTCAACCTTATCTAAAGGAAGTAAAAAAGCTGTAACATTTAGAAATCATCTATCCATCGGAAAAAATTGTATGTAGTAGACTTGAAAAAAATACATGTGCTGACGAATTTTAGAGAGAAATTCCTAGTAATTGGAAAATTCACTCAATTATCAGACCTCATTAGACTATGAGTATGATCATTTCTTCAATGACATGAGCTGCTTCTTTAACAACAGAAAGTATTCTAAAACTATTCATTTTTTTATTGAAAATTACTTGGAAAATATACAACTAAAGAGGAAACTAAATTTCTGATACAATGTTACTCCTATTTTATAAATGTTTTTAAAAATAAAAAAATCCAAAGTCACATGCTTTTGTTAAAAATACAGTTTGTCACAAAAGAAACAAAACCACTTAACTATCTCCTGCTTTGATAATGTTACTTGACCTCTTGGTGTGTACAAAAGTAACTCTCAGAGTCAGACTGTCCTGAATATAAACCACATTCAAGGCACACATCAAGAACTATGAGAGATACACGAGTTGACATCGTCTTCAAGAAAGCTAGGCCATAAATGCAAATCTCAGAAAAACACCCTCCAAAGGTCTGACTTTGTGTGCTGTTAGCTCATTACTCATGGTTAAATGTTATTTATCCAGAGAAGATTAGATAAATGACTGCATTAGCCTGAAATATTAAGGTCTTTTGCACTTAGAGAGTAATCTCTCTCTCTATAAAGATTTCCACTCTTATGCAAGCCATAGTCAACCAACTTCCAAGTCCTATGGACCTCAACTCCTGTGAAGTTTCTTAGGAATCTATTTCCAAATCCAGTGCTACCACTCTTGTCCCCAACAAACGGTTCTTAGTGCATGCCATTAGAATACTCTAATGGACTTGTTAAAACAGCTTCCCCACTCTCAGCGTTTCTGACTATTGGGTAGAGCCCCCAGAACTGCATTTCTAACAAACCTTCAAGTGATGCTAATGGTACAGGGCCCACATCTGGAGAACACTGTCCTAAAATAACTTCATCTCTTCTAGATTAGTATAATAGCTTCCTAACTAGTCTATCTACATCCACTCATGTACCATCTTCAATCTATTCTCTACCATGTAGGAGAGATTTTTTAAAAAACACAAATATGATATTATACTCATATCATCTTCTCATTTCCATGAACATGCAACATTCTCCACTGTACTTAGAACACGAGTGGTAAGAATAGTGCTACCAGACATCACTTTGTCACCTCTAAAGTTTAAGTTACTAGTCAGCTGTGATGCTGAATTAAAGGAGTCCCAAAGGGCAAGTGCCTAGGAGGTTCCTTGGTATTTTGTTTCAGGTTTCAGGTATTTTGTTATAAGCAACAGAAATGGACTAATACATCCCTATAAAATGTCTTCTTTTGAGTCCCTGCATAAGGAGCTTTAAAGAAATGCTGGTTATCAGGCTGGCCCATGGCTCACTTGGGAGAGTGTGGTGCTGATAACACCAAGTCAAGGGTTAAGATCCCCTTACCAGTCATCTTCTTTTTAAAAAAAAAAAAAGAAAAAGAAAGAAAGAAATGCTGGTTATCAAGACATCTGTCAGCTTCAAAAAAAAAGAAAAAGAAAGAAAGAAATGCTGGTTATCAAGACATCTGTCAGCTTCTAACCAACCAGCTTTGTTGGTGATGCTGGGGTTAAAGCCTCTGCAAAGTATATTGCTTCTTTGACAGCTGGCTCCCTTTTAGTATCAGCCAACAAGGAGACGCTAAAGGGAGACTGGAAGGCTGGAGGAGAAAGGTGCATGTTCCTTCCTTTACGCTTCTTGTTCCAATGTCATCCCAGCAACACATCACATCGTAGAAGTGGTTTGTTCCAGTAAAGAGCAATTAATATCAATTTTCAGTTTTTCCAAAACTCCCAGAAGCAGCTTCAACTCGCCCCTTCACTCCCCAGACACCACAACCAGCCAATAAGCTGTAATGCCGTCTTTGAAAAGCTGAATCCCAGCTTCGCAGGGTCCCTTTGGAGGCACCAGCATCAGCTATGCAGTGCCTCCATCCGTAGAGGTCTGAGGCCCAGCTCCACAGTTCCTCCTGTAAACTTCACAGGCAAAGCAGAACCCTCTCCTCATGGTCTAAGTGCCAGCTCCAAGGAGCCCCCACAAGCTTCTAAAGGTCAATTTTAACTTCATCCATTTGATCCCCTAAGAACTAGGGAAGGTACCAGGCAGCAGCCAAAAAAAAAAAGAACTAGAGATTGTAAATGTTTCCTGAAGTTACTACCTTCTTGATATTTTGGTTGCCCTTTTCCCATTTTTTTGTTCTGTAATACCTGGTTAACAACTTTTTATATTAAATTCTCCCTGGCAAAATAACTGGTGCAATTTTTATCTCCTAACAGAATACTTTCTGATAATAGTGAGACATTAAAAGACAAAAGGAAAGGCCATGATTAAGCTAAATGAGGAAAGAACTTGACCTGAAGAGCAGACCTACAAATAAAAAGCTAGATGCATTTCAGAATAACAAGTAACAGGAAAAAGATGACATAAAGAGTAGAGGTACTAAGACAACTTCTACAGCATATATGCCTTTATAAAGAAAAAGGAATGATAAAGGGCAAAGGGCAAATTATATTTGGTCTTCAGAAGCTAAAAATGGGATTAAAGCAGGTACAGTTTACAGGATAGCCCAGCAGACTATAGGGTAACTAAAACAAGGAAAATATGGGCCGGCCCGGTGGTGCACTCGGTAGAGTGCGGCACTTGGGAGTGCGGCGGCGCTCCCGCCAAGGGTTCGGATCCCATGTAGAGACCGGTCCACTCACTGGTTGAGCGCAGTGCGGGTGTGACACCGAGGGTTGCGTGCAATCCCGTTACCGGTCACGAAAAAAGACAAAAAAAAAAAAAAAAAAAAAAAAAACAAGGAAAATATCTTAGTCCATTCTTAGGCTGCCATAACAAAATAACATCAACTGGGTAGATTACAAACAACAGAAATTTTGCTGTCACCACCCCGAGCCCCACCAGGGTACTGACACGTGCAGCTGGCGGAAGCTAAACCCAGCCACAACCTGGTAAAGAGCATACCAAAATCACCATTTCCATGCAGGTAGCCCACCATAGCCACCGCAATTGCCATGGCTGCTGCAAAAGTGGCTAGTCACTATAGCATTAGTCACAGCCACTGTCCAGACTGTCAACTGCCCTGAAATAGGGAAAGGCAGCAGCAGAGACCAACAAAACAAAAAAACAGAAAAACAAAAAAAAAAATAAGAGGTCCTCTCTCTCCACAAAGCACACTACAGAGTAATAGAAGAAGCATCTGATTTACAATAATAGGGAAGGACTTGATCACACCTGTCTCGGTACTGGACAGATCATCTAGGCAACAAACCAATAGAGGAACAGTTAATCTATCAGATGGAGAGAACAAATCTATGGTTATTAGAGGGGGAAGGGGGAGGGGGAAACGGAGAAGGGGGAGATTAGATAAGGGGCATAAAGAATGATTTGTAACAATGAATATGCTAATAAAAAACAAATTTTTTTAAAAAGAAGCCATTAAAAAAATAAAAATAAATTTACTTCTCATAGCTCTGGAGGCTGGAAAGTACAAAATCAAGGCATATTAGAATACCAGCTTAGAGGGGTGCCTACTTGCTGTGTCCTCACACAGTGGAAGGGTGAGCGATCTCTCTGGAGTCTCTTTTATAAGGGCACTAATCCCACTTATGAGAGTTCTGCCATCATGACCTAATCACCTCCAAAAGGCCCAACCTCTTAATATTATCATGTTGGGAGTTAAGATTTCAATATATGAATTTTGGGGAAACACATTCAGTCCATAGCAGAGGACTTTGAAGGAAATGTTAATTATATAAAACCTCTAAACTTGTGAAAAGTGAATTTTATGAATTACATTTATGCTATACATAAGTACATGTTAATTGTACCCCCTTTTATGCCATATTCACATTTAGTGGAGCATTTAAACCAATTGTATAGATAGTAGGTTAAAATTTGAAGACAAATGTATTGGTAGGGAAATAACCAAGAGAAAGCTGATCAAAGACTCAGTCTTTGCTAAAAAGAAACATGATAGTTCTCTTTACATGGTGGAAGAGAAGAAATCTTTGGGCAGGAGAGATAGAACATGCAGCTGTGATATGGACTCATACATGAATTTGAACTCTAAATCCCTCTGTGGCCTCATCAGAAGTCTGAACTAGACATATTTGGTTTATTTGCTAAACTATTTAACAGTAGATAAACTAAATATTAATGGAAGTCCATGCATAACACCCAATGTTTCTAATATTCAAAAGATACTTAGGGATATAAAATTAACTGCTGCCTGCCTCCAGAAGTTTTAGAATTTCCTTATTGACTAAATTACCATTTTAGTACATTTAGGTTAATTGCAGGTTATCAAAAAGACACCTGCACTCCCATGTTCATTGCAACAATATTCACAGTAGTCAGATGGAATCAACCTAAATGCCAATCAATGGATGAATAGATTCAAAAACTGTGGCATGGGGCCACCCAGGGTCCTGAGGTGTGGAGCCAGGGACCAACCCCTCTTCCCGTAGCCAGGCACACCACCGCTGCCATGGGGCCATTACTCTTTCAGAAGGAGAGAAGAAATCTAGGGTTATCAAAATTGGGAGGGGGGAGAAAAAAGGGGATGGGGAGAGACTGGGTAAGTACAATTTGTAATAATATATATGCTAATAATATTGATTTGATAATATATGTTAATGTTGAACCCAAAAAATATGTATAATCAATCACAATTCAATAAAATAAATAAATAGTAAACTGTGGCAAATACATACAATGGAACACTATTCAGCTACAAAAGAAATAACATCCTATCATTTGCAGCAACATGGATGGAACTGGAAACCATCATGTTAAACGATGTCAGGCACAAAAAGACAAATACCACATGATCTCACTCATGTGGAATCTTAAAAAAAAAAAACAGTGCTTCTCACAGAAGTAGGAAGTAGAATAGTGGAATAGTTACCAGAGACCAAGAGGGGAGGGGGTTGGGGGGAGGAGAAGTTGTGAACTAATAGGTACAAAACTATGCTGTCTACCCTAAGTGAGAATCACTGTGCAGTATATACATGTACTGAAACAACACACTGTACCCCACAAAAATGTACAAGTAAATCTTAAAATAAAATTTTTTTAAAAAATTCACCTGTTGATGGCGAAATACAATAATCATCCTCTACAGACTGGCCATAGAGATCATCATCTTCAAAATCTAAAATAAAAACAAGAGATAAATTCATACAGATTTTTTTTATATTATTAGTTATTAATAAGGAAGTACCTGAATTCTCTAAGAAAATTAAACTGTTTATCAAAGTTAAAGGAATCTAGAGTGTCTATTTTCCAAAAAATTCTAAAAATTTCACCCATAAAAATAGATATTTAGGGCCGGCCCGGTGGCGCACTGCTACAGTGCGCCGCTTGGGAGCGTGGTGGCGCTCCCGCCAAGGGTTCGGATCCCACATACAGACCGGTTCCCGCTCACTGGCTGAGCGAGGTGCAGGCGCAGCACCGAGGTTTGCGATCCCGTTGCCGGTCCCGGTCTGGTACGGGCGCGACACTGAGGGTTGCGATCCGTTGCCGGACACGAAAAAAGACAAAAAGGAAAAAAAAAAAATAGATATTTAGGGCCGGCCCGGTGGCGCACTGCTACAGTGCGCCGCTTGGGAGCGTGGTGGCGCTCCCGCCAAGGGTTCGGATCCCACATACAGACCGGTTCCCGCTCACTGGCTGAGCGAGGTGCAGGCGCAGCACCGAGGTTTGCGATCCCGTTGCCGGTCCCGGTCTGGTACGGGCGCGACACTGAGGGTTGCGATCCGTTGCCGGACACGAAAAAAGACAAAAAGGAAAAAAAAAAAATAGATATTTACTGACATTTCCATATTTATGAAGACATACATGGTTCTTCAGTTTTTAAGCTAACTGGCTTTTATTAAATTTCTCCAAGTTTTCACCTCGTGATCAAAAAATAATAATAATCCTACAAACAATATACTTGAATTGTTTTTCCGGTGTTGACAAAAACCTGAAATAAGCTTCCATCCATTTTTTTCACCAAGTATCCTCTATAGCCAAAGAACCTCTTTTCCACAGAACTGACTAGCACAGGGTATACAATCAGATCATGAAAGTAGTTTTTCTTCATGTAGAGTGAAGCAATCTCTACAAAAACAAGCTTACCCTAAACTCCCTTGTGATCACCACACTGAAGGCTAACTGGCTTTTTTTTCCCTCCTGACTGGAATATGCTCTTTGACAGATTTTCCAAAGGCTACTTCTTTCCCCTAGTTAAGGTTCCAGCTCAAATGTCATCTTTTTGCAGAAGTCTTCTCTGACCACTTTGGGTAAAGCAGCAAGTCCCCCTGCCACTTTTACCCTCTAGCACGCTCCTCCAATTTATTGTCTTCAAAGCACCACACCTGTTTCACTCCACGAGCTTATCAGCTCCTTCAGGACATGACTTGGTTTAGCCAACTACACATATTCGGCACTAAATTAATATTTGTTTTCTTATAAATTAATGAATCAAATTATTTAAAACTAAAAACCCACAAGGAACATACATATATTTACCTAAATGTATTTATTCATTGATTTGACAAATACTAACACTATTCCAGGGACTATTAGAGACACTTGTGGTACAACAGCGAGAATATTCCCAGCTCTCCTGAAACCTAAAATCTGATGGGGAACACAGACAAAAAAAATGGGCAATTACAAAACCATATGACAAGAGCTGAACATGAGAGATACAAAGCAATTTGGGAATAGACACATGAAGAACAAAACTAGAATTGGGAGTGTAGTGGCTAAGGAAAGATTCACAAGAATATAATATCCAAAGGATTGGGTTAGCTAGTTTCTAACCATACTCATGCAGCAGGAACAGCATGCTCAAAGGCTGAGACCAAATGTTTCTGGCAAAGAATAATTAGATATATGCTACATTGGATAAAAATGTGTAACATGCAATGAATTATTAGATCACAATCTGAGTTAATAAATAATAATTCATCAGCAAATAAATGAGAGATCATTCACAAACAAAAATATATTTTTAGATATTAAAGACAAGAATCTTTTTTACTAGGTCAGTTTGTCAATACTGAAATTGAGCCCAAAGTACCACAATATGAAAAGATGAAGAGAAATCTTTCCTGCGATCATTGTAAAGCAGTTTGTTTCTACAACAAAATTTTGATTATTTACTACATGGAACACATTGTGTCAGCTACTGGAGTAAATATAAAAGTAAGTATAGACTTCGCCTTACTGGGACTTTTAAATTAGTAGCTGAGGCAGTCGTGTAAAGTACTATCAAAATTACAGAGAAAAACAATGTGAGAATTAAACGGAGAAACCAATAGGTTTTTGGGTACAAACCCTCTCTGATAAGGTTATGTGAATTCTGAGAATTTTTAAATTATTATTCTGAGACTCCAAGGGAGAGCCTAACTGGGAAGAGGCCATATGACGCTGTGCAGCACCTTCCCCTCCCAACCTAAGATCAATCCCAAAGAGAAAAAATCACGACTTAAAACAACGCCATTCTATGGCACTCAGATGTCCTGTTATTTTCCCCAACTGGGCTTCCTCGAATTCCAGCCTGGCACCACTGACGAGTAACTCATAAATCGCAGTGGATGCCAATGGGCTGAGATCCCAGCTGGAACAGCGAAAATGACGTCCCGACATGACCCTACCACCTACCTTCATCGTAGTTATAGCCTCGGACATTCCGATGCCGGGCCATAGCGGCGGAGAGGGCGTTTATCACAGCCCCTTCCAAAACACTCCGCTCAGATCCTGATAAGGCGCCAACTGCGGCCTGGAGAACACCTATGCGCCATCTTGGCTTCCGGCAGGCCTCTGCGCCCAGCGACTGCGCACGCGCGACGTGTTATCCGCGCACTGCGCGACGGCAACGCCCGGGGTCACTGCCCACCTCCCCGGGAACGCATGCGTACTTAAGCGCATGGGGGATGGGTTTTTTTTTTTTTTTTTTTTTTTTTTTTTGCCGTGGACCCGCCCAGGAGCTCGTCGACTGATAGGGTTTCCTAAAGGGGAAATACCGTCACCTATAATTTATTGGTTTGGGCGAAATATTGAGAATGGCGATCCTGGATCTGCACTAGTGTTCCAGGTTATTTCCAAAATTTAGTTTCTGATAATCAACTGAAAAAGCTGACTGTGTGTTCAATAAGAGCAGGGACCTTCTTTTATTCAACTTACATCTTAAAGGCCTAGTTAGGCACACAATAGGCATTCAACAAATTTGAGTAAATTTGCTATAATAATTTGTCCAAGCTTTAGAAGGGGAGAAACGGCTATTTTTAAATGCGTATATACAGTTGCATTGAGAACCTGGCTCAATAGGTCACCATGCTTTCGTGTAATTCTTGGCTTTGTGTATGCACTCGATCCTATATGAATACCTCTAGTAAACAACTATCTGCCCTCAGCTATGTAAACGATCTTTATCGGCGTCTTAGAGAAGGAGTCACAGAGCATTCATTGAACACATAATCATGTGTAACCTGCTAAGAGGATTAAATATAGCTTTTTAGACATAGCACTGGCATTAGGTGGTAATGATGAATGTTGTTGATGCATAAATACATAACCTATTAAATGTTCTCATTTCTTGAACATGAAGTTAATAATGCTATGTAAAAAACCAACCTCATAATCATACTGAACAGACCCCTTAAGTTCTAGCTTGTGTTTTTGAAATGGTGATACTTTACATCAAGGGCAAATGTCAAATTCTAGAAATGAATTAAAAGCTTACTCAGCTTTTTATTATCCGCAATAGAAAGAAATAGAGTAAGACAAATTTAATTCATACTTGTAAGTGACTTGGAATGTAATTTATACATGCATTTGAATGTGTCTGACTACCAAATGGTTGTTCTTAACTATCATTGCTATTTAATGTAGCTCCAACACAAAATTTTGCACAAAAATCGCAGTAGTTGCTAATTTTATATGGCTTAAGTGTTTTCCTTATTTTATACCTTTATATAATTTTTATGTCACAGCCTGTTTCTTTCTAAGATGCAGATAATAATACTATTTAACTCAGAGTTGTGAATAATAATTTACCTATGTTACCTATATGTTATTAAAATACAAATGGCAGCTTCTACCCCACATTAATTGTCAATTACAAGCTTAAATATAACTCACTTAGGTATGAAGTGAATGAGTTATAATTGACCACATAAACAAGGTACTACAGGAGCAACAAATAAGAAAACATTTGTGCTGCCTGAGAGATAGTATGTAATCTGTCTCTGGGCCATCAAAAATGCACTCCCTTAAAATTCTAAATACTTGAGAGCCTCCACTGAATCTCAAGCAGTAGGGCTTCAAATGCAAAGCCTTCACTGACTTCTTCAGAAAGTGTCAGGGATATTATCCACTGCCCCCAGAACTCCTTAGGTGTGATTGTAAAAGTTTGGTATTGTGGTTTGATGGGAAGTACCATGACTTTGGAGTCTCACAGACCCTGATTTCAGTGCCGGTTTTGCCACTTTCTGTTAATTAACTCCTTTGGGTTTAATTTCTTCATCTGTACAATGGATATATATGAAAATATATGTCTTCTATTTTGTGAAAAGTAAATGAAATTATGTATGGAAAAACAGTAGCTGTTGCGTAACAAGTACTCAATAAATGCTAGTTCTCTACTCCACCAATTAGAAAGCTTTATCTTTCTCTAGCACCCTAAATGTTTGGCACTTTGAATGTTTGCTGAATGAATTAATGAATAAAAGAAAAGAAATATAGCAATATGTCTCTTGCTATGGGATAGTTAAACATCATAAACAACTATACAAATAATTCATTTTTATTTGTGGAAAAATCATGTGAAAGTAGCATAACTACATTACTGAAAAAAATTTAACAGCTTTATTGAGGTATGGTTGACAAACTGCACATATTTAATGGATACATTTTGATGTTGATATGGATTGAATTGTGTCCACTAAGTTTTAGGTATTAGAAGTTTAATCCCCACTGACAGTTGGGAGGGTGGGAAATTCTATTATGGTTATTGAAAAGTGGGGCTTTGAATAGGTGATTAGATTGTGAGGATTATGCCTAGTGAACGGATTGATCCTAGTGAATGGTGGTCATGGGCATGGTTCTGATAGCTTTAAAAGGAGCAAACTGAGAAGGCTAACTCTCTCTCTGCTCCTCCATATTTGCCATGTGATACCCTGAGTCACTGTAGTCACCACCAGGACAATGCCCTCACCAGATGTGTTCGCTGGACTTTGGACTTTCCAGCCTCTGAAAATGTAAGCAATAAATATTGTTTCTTTATAAATTACCCAGTTCCAGGTATTTTGTTATATGCAACAGAAATAAACTAATACAGATATATTTTGACATATGTATACACCAGTGAAAACATCAACCCAATCAAGTTAACGAACATAACCATATTCCCAAAAGTTTCCTCAAGTACCTTTATGTTCAGAACATAAAATCCCAGAATATCCAAGGATGTCTCCTCCCCCTCACTTCCCCAACGCCATGGACCCTGGCAACAACTGATCACCTTTCTGTCACTATAGGTTTATTTGCATTTTCCAAATGTTACATAGGTGAAATCATACAGTATGTGTTCTTTTTTATATGTCTCCATTCAGCACAATTATTTTGAGCTTCAACCATGTAGGTGCTTGAATCAACAATAGTTCATTCTTTTTTATTGCAGAGGGGAATTCCATTGTATGGATATATCATTTGTTTTTCCATTCACCTACTGATAGATATTTAGATTGTTTCCAATTTTGGCTACTACAAATAAGGATTCTATGAATATCTATGTACACATCTTTGTATGGACATAAACTTTGATTTTTCCTGGGTGAATACCTAGGAGTGGAATGGTCAGATGATATAATAGCTTATCTTTAGCTTTTTAAGAAACTGCCAAACTGTTTTTCAAAGTGATTGTAACATTTTACATTCCAACCAGCAGTGTAGTTCCATACTGCTTGCCAACACTTCATAGGGGCTAAAGATTTTGAGCTTGTTTCACATTTCTATATCCTCTTTGGTGAAGCATCTATTTAAATGTTTGGTCAATGTTTAATGAGGTGTTTGTTTTCTTATATTTGAATTTGTAGAGTTCTTTTTATATTCTGGATAAAATGTATTTATCTGATATATAATTTGGAAGTATTTGGCCTAGCATGTGACTCATCTTCTCATTCTCTTAACAGTGTCTTTTGAATAGAAATTTTTCATTTTGATGAAGTCCAATTTATCAATTTTTTCTTTAATGGATTGTGCTATTGATTTCTTATCTAAGAAATTTTTGATCCAAAGTCACAAATTTTTTTTCCTATTTTTAAATAAGCTTTACAGTTTGGGATTTTACATTTAGGTTTATGATACATTTTCAGTTGAGTTTTGTATATGGTACAAGGGTTGGGTCAAAGTTTATTTTTTGCATATGGATATTTAACTGTTCTGGCACCATCTGCTGAAAAGAAGGTTCTTTGTCCACTGAATTGCATCTACATCTTTGTCAAAAATTAGTTGTCCAGTGTGAGTCTATTTCTGGACTCTACTGATTTATTGACCTAGCTTAACCCTCCAATTTTGTTCTACTTTTTCAAAGTTCTCTTTTTTTTTTGTCTTTTTCCGTGTCTGGCAACGGATCGCAACCCTCAGTGTTGCCTCCGTACCGGACCGGGGACCGGCAACGGGT